CCATCCTCCGGTGGGGGCAACCATGGGCACAGGGAAGCCAGCCCGCGTGCCGGGGCAGTGTGGGGCTGGGATCTGCCTGGCGCAGCCCCCAGTGCCCGCAGAGCTGGGGCCCAGCGCAGAGGGCATGTGTGTCCCTCCCGGTCTGAGCCGGGGGGCCGAGCGTGTCCCTCCTGACGGCATGTGCGCTCGCCGTCCCTGCAGGTGAACACGGCCATGCACGAGGCCAAGCTGATGGAGGAGTGCGACGAGCTCATGGAGATCATCCGCCAGCGCAAGCAGGTCATCGCGGTCAAGATCAAGGAGACGAAGGTGAGGAGGGCTCGTGGGTTGCCAGGGGGTGGCCACCACAGCATCTGCCCTTCCTCTCCGGGCACAGCCCAGCCCTTGGGCAGCCCATAGTGCGGGAATGTCCCCAGCACAGCCGAGGGGCCACTAACGGTGCACGTCACCTGGCCTGGGCAGGAATCGCTGTGGGTGGCTGTCGATGTTGGTGTGGGCACCATCATCTCCTGGCCGCCCCAAACGGCATGTGAGCGCGAGTGCCCCTCAGCACCGCGGTCCCCGGGCCCCTGCACCGAGCACGAGGCGTGCGCGTGCCTTTCGTTGGTTGGCGTGACAGGTTGGCATGGTTGCTCGGATCAGCCCCGACAGCTTCCTCAGGGCTTTCCTGGCGCTGCGGATACAATAATGCAGAATTCACGCCGAAGGGCCGCGCGAGCCCTGCACTGCAGATGCAGGGGAGGCTCCACGCTCTGCACTGCAGCGCAGCCCTAGGCGAGCTGGTTTCTCACCCTTTTCTTTTGGGGAGTGTTTGGACCCTTCTCCAGCGGTTCCAGGTGCCTGGAGGTGGTTTCCATGTGATGGGGAGAGGCCGGAGGGATCAGTTTGCCATGTGTGAGCCCTTCGCCTTTCTCGTGGGCTCGGGTGGGCGCTGGCATCCAGCTCTGCGCCTGCCGCGGTGCCGATAGTGAAGCCGGGAGCAGCGTCACCCCAGACGCAGATGGTTTTGCAGGCAAACCTTTGGGGCTGGGTCCCACACAGCACTCGGACACCTCGGGCTGTGGAAGCTCTAAAACGGCTGCTTTTATCCCAGCTGCTGCAGGGAACATATTTTATGTAACGGTGCCTTCTGCTGGTCCATCTGTCTGTCTGCCTCACGCTTCCCGCCCTCTCCCCCAACGTCTTTTGACCGTGTTGTCCAGTTTCAGCCGTACTTGGCAGGAGCTGGAAGGCTCAAAGACGTTATTTTCCTGCGGATCAGCAGCTGGCTGGAGGAGAAGGGCCCCGATTAGTGCCCAGAACCATCGGCCAGAGCAGCGCGTAGCGAATCGCCAGGGCAGGAGCAGGAAAACTGCCCACGGAGCACAACCGGGCGCTGCAGCAGCGGGAGCCTGTGCGGGAACGGCGGGGCGGTGCTGGGGCACTGGGTTTGGTGACCAAAGTTGCCTGGGAACAGGAATAAACGTCTCTGATGGTGAAATTGGGCTGGGGGTGGGAGCGCAGGGCCCCTCCGCAGCCCCCCGCGCTGCCGGCATTTTCCTCTGTTGCGTTCGACGCCTCTGAGCGATGATTTCCGAGTGTGGATGGGAAGTGGCCTTTCCGAGGAGCCCCAGCGCAAACACTGGAGCGTTTGAAAAGCCCCGAACACGACAGGAAGGAGGAAGCACCGGAGACTGCGGCTGCTTTGAAGCGCTCCGACCGCGGAGCGAGGAGCGTGGCTTTCCTGCCGAGCTGCCCTTTGAGTTTCCATTTGTGCTGGGCAGGGT